GTTTTATAGTAGCAACAGCTTATAAACATCAGGAACTGCATATCCCATGATTCATTTCAGTGCAGACAACATGAAGACATATTAAGCCATTGATGTTCATTTTGTCTTCTTATGTACTTTAACTTCTTAGGTTCTTTTTAAAGACAATGCAGTAAAGTGTATTTACCTTGTTAACATGTTTCGGCTGCTAGCTGCAAGTCATATTCAGAACTGTCCCCGGTGTTGGTGGTGACGTGTCGTATATCAGCTGTTGTTACTTCCTGTACAATCCAACACAGGGCAGCAGGACCAGAAGAACACAGTCACACTACCATACATCAGAGGTATAACCGAACCCATCCAGAGAGCCAAGAAAAAACACAACATAAGCACTGTAGCAAAACCATACACAAAACTCCGCCAACAACTCGTACAACCCAAAGATAAAATCCCACAACAACAAAAATGCAACGCCATCTACGAAATCCAATACAAATCCAGCAATAAATCATACATAGGGGAAACAGGCCGGGCATTTCACATCCGAAAAAAGGAACACCAAAAGGAATGCGAAAAGGAAACGTCAGGGAGACTCACCAGAACACAAAAAGATAAAGCAGAACAGGAAAACCTTAAATCCGCCATATCAGACACTGTAAAAGGAACAACCACATTCTGGATCAGGACGGGGCTCGGGTCATTGGATCGGAAAACAACAAGTTCAAACGTTGGATCAAGGAGACCATTGAAATCAGAAAACAAGGCACGGACAGCATTAACCGTGATGACAGAACGTTCCTCCTTTCACACACCTGGGACACCCTCCTCCATCCTCCAGAGAACACCGGGCGACGGGAGGCGTGGTCAGTCTGAGCGACCTGCCAGGTCCATCAGGCTGACCACGCCTACAGGAAGTAACAACAGCTGATATACAACATGTCAACACCAACACCGAGGACAGTTCTGAAGATGACTTGCAGCAGCAGCCGAAACATGTCAACAAGGTCAACACACTTTACTGCATTGTCTTTAAAAAGAACCTAAGCAGTTGAAGACATATGCTTTTGACTTGAATTCTTGGGATTATGACAGGAATAATTCACATCAAAATCTTGTCAAGGTATTTTAAAAGCAAAAAAGTGTGTCATCTACAATTATATGAGCCTCTCTAAAATATCGCAATAAATATCGTACCGTGAGATCAACTGAAACTAAATCAAATCTTAAAGTGACTTCTAGGGAAATCGAAAGTATCAAAAGTCAGATACTATTAATCGAAACTAGATACTCATTTGAGCAGGTATTGATGCTAAGCCACATTTACAGGATGGAAATAAACCTTTCTTGAATAGATTTAGAATGATGTTGAGTTATATCAGAACAAGTGTAAGAGTACATAGACTAGTATAACACCCATGGACCGCTGAGTGATTACACATATATAAGATTCATGTAAATAGAAAAGAAAATACTACCATTTAATGACTGAAACGATCAATCACTGAAAATAATTTCTACTGTCTGAAGGAAGTGACAACAATAGTGACTTCCCAATTTGAGAAAGCAACAGTATATTACACCAGACAAATGAGTCCATCTACTAAACTTCCCTCAATTCTTACTATGAGCGTGACCACCTCTCCACAGATCTGACTTGTAACTTGTAAGCTCTTTGTTATAATGTTGTTTCCTCATCGCAAACAGACCTGGAGTTGTGTTTTGTTTCAATCGCACATTCAACACACAAACCCTGCACATTTAGGCTGAGTTCTTCTCTCAAACTGAAAAAACACTCCACAGAAAACTCCATACACCTTCACTATAATCATTTGGTTAATTTCAGCCCTGGAATTTTATCTCTACTACACAAAAATGTAGCTGTTAACTTGAAAAACCCGCTTCATGACATCACAAGGTGGAACAGAGCGTTTTGAGCTTTGGAGATGTAGACAGACTAATAATAAAAGGTGATTCAAACGTGTGAATGAAACAAAACACAACTGCAGGTCTGTTTTTGATGAGGTAACAATATTATAACATGCCTCACAAAAGTCTATTATGTGTAATATATATAATTAAGATATATTTGTAGATATATATAAAGGGAATCTTATATGCTGTTAAAGGATGACAAGATTTTCAAAAACTGGGACACCCCTGTTTTGTGGTGGTTGGTAATAATAAAACTGTCAAATGAGTGCACAATTAAGGAAAACTGTTCTGCACTCAGCCATTCATGACTAACATGAGTCAGTATAGTCACATTTTCTTAGTGTTTTGGTGATTTTGAAGCAGCTTTTCTATACTTTACCTAAACAAGTGACCATTTTTGCCTCTCTTTACTGTTGGCAGGGATCAAATTGGTCAAAAATAGGGACATCTGGGACATTTCTTGTTTAAAACTGAGACAAATCAATGGTTTTGGATAAATGTGCTGGGACATGGGACACAGGGCTCAAAACTGGGACTGTCCCGGGTAAACAGGGACATCTGGTCAACTTAGTAACATTATAACATGCCTTAAAGCTCACATGAGTCAATTTTGTGTAATATGTTTACGATACATTTGTAGATACATATAATGTGAATCTTATGCTATGCTCTTATTATAACCTTTTTTTTGTTTTTTTTAAGTATAATTCAATCATTTCCTTTAGTTATTTTCTTATTTAACTAATTGTTTTGCCATATTGCCCTGTAGTTATATGCAGACCTATTTACTGTTTAGTCCAGCTCCTTCACAAAGTTAAAGCCAAGAAAGCAAAAAGTCCCAGCATAAACAATCATTTATCAACAGTATGACGTGATAAGACCTGACAAAGAAGTTAAATGTTAAATAGGGTGACCAGATTTCCAAAATAAAAAACTGGGACATCCCTGATTTAGGTTGATTAGTAATAATAAAATTGTGAAATGAGTGCGTTATTAAGGAAAATAGGAAAATTGTGATGCACTCGGTACTAATGTATCTAGTCCTGGTTTAGTCCCAGTTTAGTTCCCGGTCTAGTATCTGGTTTAGTACTGGTTAAGTCTTGGCCTAGTCCCGGTCTGGTATCTGGTGTAGTCCTGTTATAGTCCTGGTCTAGTCCCAGTCTAGTACCTGGTTTGGTCCTAGTGTAGTCCCTGGTTTAGTCCCAGTTTAATACTTGGTTTAGTCCTGGTCTAGTACCTGTATAGTCACATTTTCTTGTGTTTTGGTCATTTTTAAGCAGCTTTTCTGTATTTTACCTAAACAAATGTCAATTTATGCTTCTCTTTACTGTTGGCAGGTTTCAAATTGGTCCGAAATAGGGACACCTGGTACATTTCTTGTACAAACCTGGGACAAATCAATGGTTTTGTATAAATCTGCTGGACAGGGGACACTGGGCTCCACACAGGGACATCTGGTCACCCTATGCTATTATTATAACCTTATTAAAACAGTATAATTCTCAATTCCTTTACTTATTTAGCCAGTAATGATATAATGTTGCCATATTGCCCTGTAGTTATATGTAGACCTGTTTACTGTTTAGTTCAGCTCCTTCACAAAGTTAAAGCCAAGAAAGCAAAAGTCCCAGCATAACTAATCATTTATCAACAGTATGACGTGATAAGACCTGACGAAGAAGTTAAACGTTAAATAGAATGACCAAATTTTCAAAATAAAAAACTAGGACATCCCTGATTTAGGTTGATTGGTAATAATAAAATTGTGAAATGAGTGCGTAATTAAGGAAAATAGGAAAATTGTGATGCACTCGGGACTAATGTATCTAGTCCTGGTTTAGTCCCAGTTTAGTTCCCGGTCTAGAACCTGGTTTAGAACTGGTTTAGTCTTGGCCTAGTCCCGGTCTAGTATCTGGTTTAGTCCTAGTATAGTCTTGGTCTAGTCCCAGTCTAGTACCTGGTTTAGTCCTGGTCTAGTACCTGTATAGTCACATTTTCTTGTGTTTTGGTCATTTTTGTCACATTTTCTTGTGTTTTGGTCATTTTTAAGCAGCTTTTCTGTATTTTACCTTAACAAATGTAAATTTATGCCTCTCTTTAACTGATCATTTATCAACAGTATGACGTGATAAGACCTGACGAAGAAGTTAAACGTTAAAATTAAAATAAACATGACTCAAAGGACTGAAGAAAACTACTGAGCTGGTTAACCAACTACCTGCACTTAAGCTAGCCCCAAGCTAAAACTATACATTACTTTATGTTAGGACGGCGGCGGTTTTTATCCATGTGAAACAATTGTGACTGCTTAACTTAGTGTAAGATTTTAGTTCTGACATTTCCCCGTGTTCATTTATGTTTTACGTTGTTTTAAAAGTCTTTAAAACGCGTGGGTTAGCTTGAACAGGAGTTGAAGCTAGCTGTGAAGGTGGCTAACGCGTTACACCTGGCTGTCATCTGCAAACAGACCCACAACACTGTCAAACTTACTCTTAAAAGTTGACAAAACTGCATAACTATTATTGTATTTTTAGTGTTTAGACTGCCCCGTGAATAATTATTTAAATTTGCTACAGGTATTAGTCAGGGCTATGCAAAAACTTGGAAATATGAGCTCCATTCATGACGATAGCTTCCTATTTTTGGTTAGAATGTGGTTCGATTTTGGTCTGTTCCTAGTTAAATTCTTGGTTAGATCCGGTTTAAATCCTACTGTAGACTATTTTCCTAACTTAATCCTAGTTTAAACTATTGGTACAAGTCCTGGTTCATTCATAATATTTATTTGGTTTAGTCCTGATCTAGTTCTGGTTTTGATAATTATCCTCATTTGTTTCTATGTTGGACAGTTATTTCATGCAACGGTTTAGCTGATCCAAAATGTTTTATTCATGGTTTTAGTTACACTTTCGGTTATTTTCCTAACTTAGTCCTAGTTTAGATTGTTGGTAAGTGTCCTGGCTGATTCGCAGTGGGCTTAGATCATGGTTTTGTGTTGAAATGGACATACTAAACGTGCCAAAAATGCAACGCGTAAAAGACGGGGGGATCTTTTACGCGTATGAATAGTTTTCTTAGAGCCTTCTTACCAGCTGCTGTCGTATCCACCGTAGCATCTTCGCGCAGATCAGTAGCAGCCAGCAGCACAGCGCTAGCCCAGCACTAGCAACTAGCTGCTCCTCCAACAAAACCGATCCAAAACATGAATATTCCCCCCGCAAGGACGCTCTCCAAGGCGCATTACGCAGCGCATTTGCTCCACGTCAATGTCCGCAGACGGAATCCCATGCTTTAGAGATGGTTTGCGGATGATCCTCGCAGCAGAAGTGGCAGACGGAGGAGAGCACAGAGGAGACCCGGTGAGCTGCGCCACATCTCTGCTCCGTGTGGGCCGTCCTCCGTGAGCCCAAAGCGGACACTGGCTGCTCCAAACGCGGCCCCTGTACGCCCCCTGCCTGCGTGTCTGTGGTCCAACTCTGAACTCTCTCTGGTCACGATGACACATTTTCAAGTGTATGTATGTATATCTTGAATTTCCCAGGGGATCAATAAAAATTATCTCTATTACTGAGGAAAATATAACATAAAAATAAAGTATAATATTGAAAATTTGAGAGATACATTACTACATTCATACCATACTCCATACAACTGTACCCCAGCTCACCCTTATGAAACAGATAATACTCCCTACAACTGTACAACTCACGCTTATGTAACAGATAATACTCCCTACAACTGTACAACAACTCACCCTTATGTAACAGATAATACTCCCTACAAGTGTACAACCACTCACACTTATGTAATAGATAATACTCCCTACAACTGTACAGCAACTCACCCTTATGTAACAGATAATACTCCCTACAACTGTACAACAACTCACCCTTATGTAACACATAATACTCCCTACAACTGTACAACTCACCCTTATGCAACAAATAATACTCCCTACAAGTGTACAACAACTCCCCCTTATGTAACTTTTATTTTATTTTAGATTTTATTATAGTTCTATGGATTATCCCCACAAAAATATTCTAAATGTAAATGATAGTTTAAAAAATATTAGCTGCAAAAAATCAATAGCAGAACATCTAGAATGAGTCAGAGAAGTTATTTATTCAACCCTCTTTGGTCGAAATCTAATCATAGAACAAAAGAACAACAGAAACTTCCTCAACAATTACAAAGCAAAGGTTTAAAGTAATTAATGTAACATTCCTGTAGACAGGGATTATTCTACAGACAGTGACTTTTCACTTTTTAGAGGCTCAGAGCATGATCAAAACAGAAAATTATGATTGCACATATTTTAAGTATTTGTATTGCACGATTGGTACACATTGTAATTGTAAATGTTTTATAGAATAAGAAAGAGATTAAAATCACAATGCAAGTAAATAAAAACATAAATGATCATGTTAACTTTATAAGAGAAGAAAGAAGAGAAAAGAGTGCAGAATAGAAACATTTTAGTTATGCAGCTAAACAGAATACTTTTGAGCCTGGATTTAAACAAAGTCAAAACAAGAGGCCTGTCTCACATCTTCAGCAAAACTGTTTCAGGTTTTAGCTGCACAAAACTGAATACAAATGAATCAAAACATAAATAATCAATATAAAACTAACATTAAAAGAGAAGAGTGCAGAATAAAAACCTTTCAGTCATACTCACAGCTAAATTAAATCATTTTGAGCCTGGATTTAAACAGAGTCAAAGCAGAGGCCTGTCTCACATCTTCAGCAAGATCCTGGTTTTAGCTGCATAAGCACTGACTCCCCTCTGACTCTGGGCACCGGCAGGAGGCTGAACTACACCAGGACTAAACCAGGACCAAATCAGAATCAAACCAGAAACCAGAACCAGGATCAATCAAGGACAACAGCAGGAGCAGGACTCAGAGTGTGAGATGGTTCATACGGCACTAAAATGTCACAGATGTACTTTGGTGTCAGGCCACAGAGAGACTTGCACAAGCAGAGCTGCTTTAGAGTCTCTCCTCTGAGCCACAGGGGGCAGTGCAGAGACCTGAGCGCAGGACTTTCAAATTCAAGTCAGGACCTGAACTGCAGTGTTCTGGTTGTTCTGCAGCTGTCTCACAGTGAGAGGCCATTACTGTAGTCTAATTATATAAATATAAATGTATAATTATGCTGTATTTGACACCAGACTCTTGCTACTTTTGCTACTATTTTGAATTTATTATTACTTTTTCCCTTTGTTACTATAATATAGGTGAGCTGTTTTGTTCATATGATTCCCTTGTGGATCGATAAAGTCTGTGTAAGTCTAAGTAAGTCTAAGTCTAACCTACCCGAGACAAACACATGGATAATTGTCTCCAGGTCTGCTTTAGTAAAACTTTTATTTTTGCAATTTTTTTTAGATGGTAAAAAGTTGTAGATGTTATTGATTTGATGCGGCTGTTAGACTTCAAGTCTGAGTCCATATACTTACTTTATATTCCACATGGGCCTGGCCTTCGGAATCAGATTTACCTTTATTCATTCCCAAGTCAAGGGAAAAGAAAAAGTTATCACAAATAAAGTTGCAAATAAAGTTGAGAAAACCTCTGTTAAATATCAGTAGACCTATTACTTTTCTATCAACTGAAACCCCCAGTGAAAATAAAATAAACATAGAATTTAACTTTCGTTTTCACACCGACAGTATTTGGTGCGCACCAAACGGTCCATTCGAACCAAAAGTGGTTAGTTCGGTTCGTTTGCGTTGGTGTGAAAGCGTCAATCGGACTCGGACCCGAACCAAATCAAGCGGACCGAGACCGCAAAAAAGAGGTGGTCTCGGTTCGCTTGAATCCGCACCAAATGACCAACTTTGGTGCGGTTCCTCTGGTGTGAACGCGAACCCGGGTCCAAACCATAGACAGTATGGACAAACGGACTATTCGAAATGCATCATGGGAGGGACACGCGTCTCCTCTGCCTGAAATGACGCGCTGTACGACTCCAGCGCAGTAACAGATTGTTGTCAAGATGCAGCCGCGATTCATTTTCGAATTATTTTACCAACAATGGCCAATACAGAGAATGTAACACACGAAGATCTGAGCAAGTATCAGTGTGCGAACGTGTGGCTCCAGAGTGAGTCAAAATTGGGGGTGCGTACCCCTGTTCGGGACCTACACGCACAGAGAAGTCCCGGTGTTCCCCGTGATCACACTGCAACCAACATTTGTTATTTTAGGCTTTAATTAACCAAATAATTTTATGGCAATAGGCAATCGCCCATTCAATTGATACAACTTAAAAAAGTCCCTGTTTTTAGCCTAGTGTGAGAAATACAGTCGGACTAGATCCAAACCAGAGTCCTGAATCAGCGGGGGCAGCTCCAGTTCAGTCCGGGCTCAGAGGAGCTGGAGCGGGGAGCCTCGACCTGAGGAAGCGCTTTCCCCGGGAAGAACCAAATGCGCGGAGGACGGACGCTCAGAACAACATATAACAAACCAAACTGGACTCACGCTTCTGTCCGGATGCTGCACCACCTCGGAACCAGCCGCGGTTCTTGAGCGCGGAGGACCGGAGCAGCGCCCGGACCTGTAGTCCACAGCGCATTCTTGCTTCTCCCGCACGGAAACAGCGCGCAGACGACTGAAAGTACCTGCTCGGACTCAGTCCATCAAGCACTGGTCTTGCTCGCCACCGTTTGGAACCAGCACATGGAGGACAGAGCCTCCGGACCATCTGACCAACGCGCTTGTAACAGAAGACCAAGGACCAGACCCCAGCCCCGTCCTGAGGAGCTGCGCGCTACTTTGAGCACTGTTGGCTGCTGCTGTTACCCGAACTCTGGGCTGATGCGGTGAGTTTGTACAAAGTTCTACATGTTGCTGCTTTATGAGTTCATGGTGATAATTTGAGATGAGGACGGTCCGTGGTATTAACAGGAACATCGGTGTTGATAACTGGAGTATCGCTGTTTTACCGGGGAAACAGAGACACGTGAATCGAACCAGTTTTGGTTCGTTTGCCGGTGTGAAAGCGGACCACACTGGAGTGTATTTGCTACATAATAACAATTTTATTGCCTGGTGCGGACCAAATAATCGAACTAGCGGTGTGAAAACGTAAGATGCACTATGTCAGTTTTTGTTTAGAGGTCCATCACCTGCTTGTTTCCATGGAGATGTCATTGCTCTGGAATGTTCCACAGTGTGACATTAAACAGCTCTACTTTGCATTTATTCAATTACAGGTGCTTTTATTGCTCAAAAATGCCTGGAAAAACAAACATTCTGACTGTGAGCGTGGGCGCCTCTCCACAGATCTGACCTGTGACTTGGTCTGGTTTGGTCTCCATGAAGATAGAAAGGTTTAATGCTATACTGTGAAACATTCCAGACAATGCAATAACATCTGCATAGAGAAAAGCATTTGACGGACCCTCCACCGGAAAAGTTAAGCAAATCTTAACTTAAAAAATGCAAATATAGTACCTAGGGTGAGGAGTCACATGAGAGGAGCTCAGAGTAGAGTCACTGCTCCTCCACGTCGAGAGGAGCAGCTGAGGTGGCTCGGGCATCTGTTCCGGATGCCACCTGGGCGCCTCCCTCGAGAGGTGTTCCGGGCATGTCCCACCAGAAGGAGGCCCCGGGGAAGACCCAGGACATCCAGGACGGACTATGTCTCTGGACTGGTCTGGGAACACCTTGAGGTCCCCCTGGAGGAGCTGGAGGAAGTGTCTGGGCTGAAGAAAGTCTGGGAGTCCCGGCTTAGACTGCTGCCCCCACGACTCGGCCCTGGATAAGAGACAGAAAATGGATGGATGCAAATATAGTACCCTTATAACATTTTTCATTGTACATATATTTGTTTACAGTGAAATAATGAAGTAAATATTATATAATCGTTGTATAAAGAGACATTTACAGTAGGTTACAGTGCATTAAGCTTCTGTATGATTGTCCTAAGTAGAGATTATAGTGTGATAGTCCCGTCCCTCACCTCACGTCTGTCTACTGACCTCTACCAATCTGATATGGACTGGCAATAAGCCTTGTATTTTATGATACGAGCCAATGTTAGAATCAGATACTGTCCTCTGTGGGAAAAGGCAGACGGGGTTAAAGGGCTTGTATAAACTATTTTCTTATGTGTTAAAATGCAGTTTCATCATCACAAACAGACCTGGAGTTGTCTTTTGTTTCATTCACACATGTTAATATTTAGGGGGAGTTCTTCACTCAGACAGAAAACACTCTGCTCCACGTTCTGATGTCATGTGGTAATACAGGAAGTGCTCCACTGTGTTTTTAAACTCCACACACCTTCACTAGAATCATTTGGATCATTTCAGCCCTGGAGGTGCCAATCTGTACTGAACAAAATGTAAACAATGTTAAC